AGAGAGAGGAACAACATAACAAGACCCCATATTAACCTTTTTGGCAGGACATAAAGAAAATCATCTTCTGCATAGCGTGCTGTAAGGATGGACAAGAACATTATGATGGCAGCAATTGATGAGAAGAAAGAGACTGCATCTGAAACACTGAAGGTGGTGAAGGCTATCTGTTTGTAAAAATTTGGTATGCCAGCATCATTGTAATCACCAGGTACAGTGATTGCTGCTGCAAATACTATTGTGGCAATGAGTGCTGCTGCTACTGAGCATGAGTTTGCTACAACTTTCATCCAATCCCGACCTTCTTTAACGAGTTCCCTATGTGCCTTTGTAAATATCATTGCTGGAGTTTCTCCAATACAATTTTTGTCCGCTTTGTACGCAGGTGGTACAATTTTCTCTATTTCCTGCATAAGATAAACTTCTTAATTACAAAAATATAAATATGAAAAATTGCGAGTGTACTTAATAAAATCATTACCCTTTAGCACCACAGGACGGTCACATTCCCCTTGTGTTGCCATAATAATACTATGTTGTCTAATATATTATCTGATTCAGTCATATATTTCCATATTGAGATGTCTAATTGTCAATGGGGAGGGCTGGATACTAAGAAATCCATGCCTATGCTCATCTCTTTTATGAATACTCAAATCCAACCTATTATCCATTCTAAAAAATGGGGCGGGTTTGGGTTACTTTTTTAGACAAAAAAATTTTATCGCCCCATTTGAGATATATATATAATTAATCAAAATGATAAATAATAATTTTAATTATCTAATACAAAATTTATACTCAAAGTTTAATAATTCAAGCACAAAAATTATCAAAACAAATTATAAACTAAAGAAATAAAATGGTTTTGATTTTAATTATAAGTTTATAATAAATCTGATTCCAATTAATGTAAATTATAATTCATCAAATAATTGATGACGTGTACTACTTAATTTGACAATATAAAAGAAATAGAGACTCTAGAGCTGGGCATTTGGGACCGGGCCCAAAAGCCCAGCTCCAAAAACCGGGCCTAGGATCGGTCCTTCGGAGGATCGGTCCTAGGAGGCCTGGTCCCAAAACGGGACCAGGCCTAAGGAGGAGGGCCCAGGCCCTCCACCGGGCCCTCCTCCAAGGCCCGGGCCTGGGCCCAAAAGTTTATTTGTCTTTTATCAATTTAATCCTTTGTAAAATTACATTAAAGCCCTAAAGTCAGTATAAATTCAAGGATTAAAATGAAATTTTACTAAATTTATTAAAAAAAAAAAAAAAAAATAACCGTTGGCTGCAACGGTTATAAATTTTTAATTCATAACCGTTGCAGCCAACGGTAACTGCCAAGTGCCAACGGTTACATTTATTATTTATATAATATAAGTTTTTTTTTTTCATTTTCCCCCCCACAACTACACTATAAATAACCCTAAAACCTTTAATTTTTTTCACACCAATCTCTCAATCTCTCATTCTTTCATTCTCTCAATCTCTCTACTCCAAATCTCCAACCAATTTCTCATTCAATTTATATATATAATTTATTTATATTATTCAAATTTTTTTCTATTTTTCTCAATATCATATATTTCAAGTATATTTAATTTCTTTTTATTTTAATTATTATATTTTTTTATATAAATTTTAATGTCTTCCCAAATGAGTTTTACGTTCCATCACCGAAGAAATTGAAAGCTTCAATCCATTTTCACCATTCCCCAGAGGATTTGCAGCTGTAATTCCACACCCACAATTCGGCCGGGACGAGGTGTAGCCAAACACATGTGAGCTGCGACGGGTCAACGGGCACGGACATAGCCCAACCCACCCTGACCGTGCAAAGAGGGTCGTGTCCGATGTCTGGCGAAATATTCACCAAATCAAAACGGCAAAGACAAATGGGGAGGAGAAGGAAGAATCAAGAACTGTGGGATATGTAATTTATGCGGAACCATTATGCGGCTGAGAAGGGGGCTTCGACGATGCGACGACACGTAGAGAAGAAGCATCCCCAAATAAGTGCATCTCAAGCGGATAGGTAGACAAATTCAAACCAACTTAATTTTAATCCACGATCCTCAACTCTCTAACATGGCAATACAATACACTGTTCAAGAGAGGAATAATAGCAAGATATATAGTTGCTACAGACTCTCCCATTTGTTATCTGAAAATCCTTTTTTGGTTTAATATGGTTAAAACTGCATTTTGCCAACATATACCCCTGTTAGTAGAACTCAAGTAGAAGAGATATATAAACTTTATAACAAAATAAATAATAAACTATAAAAAAACGAATTTCAAAATTTAGGATATATATATTGCAATTACATCAGACATATGGGCTTGTAGATCAAAAACGATTTTTAATGTATAGTACATTTCTTAGATCATAATTGGGGGGGTTTACAACAAAAATGATTAGGTTTAAACATATATGAAAACATAGTGCTGAAACTATTTATTTTACGAGTTTGAAGTTTGCAAGAAGATTATTAATGATAGAGTTGTAGCGCTAACGCTTAAAATTTGCAGTTGCTAACACCGCAGCAATATCTTTATTGAAAAGAAATTGGATCCGTATGGTGAAGGCAAATTTATCAACAGAGATTGTGCTTGCACATCATCAATTTGATAGTTTAAAGCAGGTTTAGATGCTATACATCAAGGATTGAGAGGGTGCGTAGAGCTCATCGGATTTATTGACGGCTGGGTAGCAATAAAAGATAGAGAGGAGTACGTCAATATGTAAGCAAGAGGGACCCCGGTTCGACCTTTGACAGTTATGTCAAACAGCCATATCCGTTGGGACTCTAACTACTGTGTTGGAAAAAGCGTTGCACAAAGCCGCGAAACTAAATGTACAGATTTCGTACAACCGGAAGACTATCCAGAGGAAGTGTCGATTCTGATGATGAGGGGGGTTTGTGAAATTTCTTTTTATTCATTTCTTAAAATTTTTTTATGATGCTACTAATACAAGTGGTATTATTATCCAAACTACTATTTAGTGTTAGATATTTAGTCAAAGTGCTAAAACTTTTTATCAATATAGACACTATCAACAATTTAGTGAAAATTGTTCAAGTATGAAGAATGAAATATAAGAGATATTGGTAGATATTCCAGTTCTTATTGGATGAGGCCTTTTTCTAGATCTAGGTTTAAAAGTATCGTGTTACGGTTAACAAAAAAGTTTTGTGTATTATGAGTTAGGCCAATTAGTTAGGAATGATTTACGTTCGTTTTATTTGACTGACTTTAAAAACAAATGTGGATAGGCTTTTTTTCTTTGATATGAGAAACAGCATATACAATGCATGTAGAAGTGTGGAAGTGGAACGGTAGGGAGAGGCCGATCAGGACCTGTGTAGCCCCCCCTCAATGGTCGACCAAAGTGGGCGGGTATGGGGTACGTAGCGGATAGCTCAGCCCTCTAGCTCAGCTCTGCTACATACATAGACAAATGAGAATTTTACTCGCTACCTTACAGGTGGACTTGACCTTATGACGAGAAGCCAACAAACTTGACATGGATATTTTCAATGGTGGAAACAGGAAGAAAGCAATCACCATATATCACCAAATGGCACGTGACATTTATCGGTGCACGGTTTTCTACAATCGCACCGAGTCAACATTTTCAACGAGTGGTCGGAGTGTTGGAGAAGACAGAAGATGTTCTTTAAGCAATGAAAATGGAGAAGGATAACGGTTACGGGATGATTGGACTCAGGAGAAAGAAAGACTACAACAGCACCCTGAGATCCCGAATAGCGAACTCTGAGGAATACAGAGTTTGAATAATGAACTAGTGGATGCAGAATAATTTAATAAAAAATAATTTAATTATTATGTAGCAGAGTGGGATGTGTGAAATGGATATATTCATATTATGTTTAAAAATATAATTAACTATTAATTTTATTATTTTTTAAATAAATTAATGAAGTTTTAGAAACTTACTAAATAACCCTAAAAAATACTTAAAAAACACCGATAAAAATTTAGTTTTGCGCCCAAAATATAAAAAAATTTGACGGGGGTAAATTAAATTTCCAAATCCCCATGGGAAAGGTCCCATGTGGGTTTGGAAAAATAATTACGGTCAGGGCATTTAGGCATGGTCCGGGTCCTGATTTTTCTCATGGGCCGGACGGTCCAAGTCCCATAAGGGACTGGGTCCACCAGTCACATAGGGACGGTCCCTTACCCAGTATAAGTAGAGACTCCTTCCATACAAAACACTAATATGACCCATTAGACAAGCCCACTTATATTGTCCTATTGAAGATGTTTCGCTTCCCCAATAGTATTTTTTAATTGGCCCCAAATGTTTCATAGAAGAGTTCACCTTGAACCATAGTAACTCAAATTGCATCTGGAGGGCTGCACCAGGAATGACCTTTAGTCTATTTTCAGCTAAATGCAAGATGTGTTCTTGTCACCTCTTCAGAAGTTAATAACAAATGTTTCGACATTCAGTCCATATATGGTTAAATACTTTCTCTTGACGATTTATGATTGCTAAGTGGAACAGATTTTGATTCTTCTCATTTGTAAACCAGATTGCATCAGGATATGACTTTATAATCTCTTCCACAATTTCACAGACCCCATTTCGCCCCTAAAAGGAGCGTCGTTTTAGTATCAAACAATTGTTGTAGAGTCAAGTTCCTTCTGCCATTACCTTGCCAACTTTCTGACAAGCTCAAGAATTTTGTAATCACACATCAACTTTGTCTCTCTATTTCTTCGTATAACTTGTAACTAAATTAAACAGATTCAACTGTCAACAAGACAGTAACGTATACATAACCGAGTAAAGTCTTATGTCATAAGTTTGTTCCTCCTTTTTTTTGAAAAAAAAAAAAAAAAATTTCAATCCTTTTTCATTTGAAATATCTTCATTTGTAGACTATATACTCTCGAAAAATATTGTTTATTAATACAAAATCAAAAGAAAAATAACATTGATGTCAGAAAGAAATATATATACTCACCCTTAGAAACGCCGACTAATCCCCAAAACGGTAACTTTTTTGTTCCTCCACTTAGAAATGCTGATGGCTTTTTGGTTATTTCACTCAACAGAGATTCACCACCATAAAATGTCATTGTCGCTAAACTTGGATGTTCTTTAATCAAGTCTAACGCCAAGTCTGAGACATAATGATCGACATGAATTTATTAGCTAGGATCACTAATTTCAAATTTCGGACATGAAGAAAATTACGGAAAATATGTCTGAATAAAGTAAATGAAACTTTCATCGGCATGTATTGAAAGTTAGCAATTTCACTCACCATAAAATTCAGCAATTATAAGCAATTTTACGAAATGAACACGCGATGTAAAACGTGTTGCAGAATCATAAGCCAAATCTTTTTTGCTGAATTCCAATAAATAGTTGATCATCTTCTTTTGGCCATGTCGAGTGGCCTCAATCAAAGGTATCCTTTTAGACTTGTTTGAATCTTGAATTAAAGTTTGATTTTTATCTTTCTTCTTTATCATGCGGGCTGCTCGGACATTGCCAACAATTGCAGCAACGGAAAGGACCGTGTTACCCTCTTCATTTTTCATTGACACTTGACCCATTGACATCTGATTCAATAGATACTCCACAATATGATTGGCCTTGCCTGTCCCAACAGCTACATGAAGAGCTGTGTCCAAGTTTACCGTAATCCTGGCTTCAAACGCATTCTTATCCCCATCACAGAGTTGTTGTACAGATTTCAGATCGCCTTCGAGTATAGCTTTGTATAATGGCAGGTATTTCTTGAAATCCTCTGCGATAAAAAGAAAAATAAAACTTTTCAGACTTCTTTTTTTTTTTTTTAGGTTGTTGTTGGTTGGAATGTTATTTATTAACTTCTGAAAATTTATTTTAGTTTTCCGCTACTTACCCGGCTCTCTCCCTTCCGCTAAGGCGGTAGTCTGCGAAGAAGAAGAAGCGATTACAAGCTGTAATGAAGAAGAGATCGAAATTGTAGTTTGACAGCGCGTACCTGAGGATTGCCTTGGAACTCCTCTCTCAAAGCGTCCCATGCTTCATTCGCCTTCTGAGCACGAGAAATTTTGCGGAAAATATTATCATCCACCGCTTGTTGAAGGATGAAAAGTGCTGCTGCATCATTTTTCTTACTTTCTTTCAACTGCTCCTGTTGTTGTTCAGATAGAGTGGAGCCGCTGATCTCTAAATAGTTTTCATAATTAACAATGTCCCATAAGTCTTGAGACAAAAAATATGTCTTCATCTTAATACTCCAAACATCATAATTTTCCCCAGTAAAGATGGGGATGGGAATAGCAAGTGGAGTGGTGTTTCCTTTGGCCATAGCGAGGAATTCAAGGTATGGAATTGAACCCTGTTTCCTACGTATATATAATGAGGAATTCAAGTTTTATATTTTATAATATTTATAATTTTAACTCAATTTAAATTCACATTGACCCTATAAAATTTATAATAAATTTATCAACTTAAATATTTTTAATCTACTTGCTAAAAATCTTGGCCAAGTCCCTGCATCCATACTTACTAATGTTTATCACAAATTTAGATAAGTTTTCCATTATTTATTTCATTGCTCCAATAAATTATCATTTCTCTCTATCATACATTTATCTAAGATGTGGTACATGTTTTTGAGTGGTATAATGACTTTCACGTTGTTGACAAGTTATTTTAAGTATAATGGTACATGTAAAAATAAATTTTATAAGGATTATATAAAATGATGTGATAAAAAATAAATAGAAAAGTGAATATGATGAGTTTGATTTTTATATTATTTTTTATTATATTAATTTATACATAAATCTTTGTATGGCTTATTTGTAAATCTGCATTATGTTATTTTAATTAGTATACATAAACAAGAAAGCAGCCATCCCTAAGCAGTAATGTTATGTTGAGACTAAATTGATTATTTTATTACATCCACCAACAAGGCCCCAGGGACCACATGTTGAAAATTAATATAAACAGTTCATATAGAAAATTGAGCATCAATAGTCTGCCAAAATGGATTTCAAGGCGGCTTAGTCATCCACATGATAAATGCCCTTAATTTTCCAGCCACCACAGATTCAGATACGTTTAATGTGGCACAAAATAAATGCCTGAGTGATCTCACTCCTCTGTCAGTTAATGACCTCAACAATACAGGTGCAGACTACTAGTTTGTAAATTCGCGAAGTATTCCGTATAATTCGCATATTATTGGTGATCAGTTATATTTTATAAACACAGTCGGATTATTAGTAAATTATATGCCTCAATCATATTATTTGGAAATTATTTTTGTATTCAAATTTTTTCTAAATTTTTATAAATGTATTTTTCACTATTTTTCGTATCATATTCATAAAATTCTTATACATTTTTTTTCCGTACCTGTATATTTGAAATGTTATATAGATTTTAACCAAGTGGTCCATGAAAAGTGCTAAAATTAGGATTGATATTACCATATTTTTTAAAACATATTATTGACAATGTGTCGTATTAAATCTGTATATACCCGTATCATATTTTTTTCGTATCCGAATTTTATAGCCAAATTTTTACAAACGTATTTTTCACCATTTGCCGTATCATACTCGTAAAATTCTCGTACCGTTTTTTTACCGTACCCGTATTTACTAAGCTACTAGCTCATCCTAAATCAACTAGATACTTTATATAATTAATTATAGACTCAAATACATTTTTGTAGGGGTGGGCAAAAAAATAGGATAGAAACAGAACTGACGGGTATTTAGGTATCAGTTCCAGTTCCTATCCAGAATAAAAAATCATAGGGTCGGTTTTGGTTCCCAAAAACTGGAACTGACATTGTGCGGTTCAATCCAGGGCAAAAACAAGGCCATATAAAGAGATAAAAAAAAGTTTCGATACTTAAAAAGAGAAACTGCAACGAAAGTCATTACCCACTAGTACCACCCATCCTTCTCTCTCTTCCTCACATTCAAATTAAAGAGTAGTAAATCTCCCCTTCCAATGTATAGGCAAAATATCATTCGCCCTAACAAGCCCAATAAAAAAGGCTTTGTGCAAGGCCTAATTTCTGTTGTTTCAAACCAAAGCCTATCTATAACTGGATACTCTACAATTTGGGCTTTTATCCATTAAGGTTCATTGACAAAGCTAATGTCTAGATATCATTACGACTCTGAGTCTGATTAGGAGTCTGACTCCTAATGAATATGGATCCCATGATGACTCCTCATTTCTCAAGGATCCAAGTCTCTTGGAGATTCATCAGTAAGTAGGACTCCTAGTCTTACACAAAGACAAAGTTGACCTTGTATTATTCCTCAGTAAGTAGGACTCCTAGTCTTACACAAGACAAAGTGAACACTTGGTATAGTCCTAAACTTAACGCCTCACAGACCTGAGTCCTACTAGGATTCCTACATCCTTGAGGTCCAAAGTTCCACAAATACTTACACAAAGACAAGGTTATAGACATAATGTGATACATATGTAAACTAAACATACAAACTCCAACCCAAAAAATAATGTACATAACTATAATATAAAGTATTTTGACATTGAATTTTTCTCTCTCTTTTTTTAATTGTTTTATGAACCTGGTAAATCTTACGATTTTCTAAAAGTAAAAAATAAGACCTTTGGCCAATAGGTGCTCATGAGGGGATTCAAAACTATACTATATTGGAGTAAATCATAAACTTGATTGTTCGACTAATTTCTCATAAGTGATTAAGTGCTTGTGACATTTATATTTAAGTTTCTATTAAATTATATGATTTTATAATATTTCTAATTTCATTTTTAAAGAAAGACTTATAAATTTTAGGTTAATAACTAAAGGTGATCAGTGTAAACTAATCATACAAACTCCAATCCACAAATAATGTAGCATAATTTTGTTATTACCACATCATTATCTAATATTAATTTAATTCTCTTTAATGACTCTATTATTCTTTTTTGTACTACATCAATTTGTTTATAAAAACTATATACAAATCTCTTATATTGATTATTAACGAAAATCCTTGATCATAGAAATCGAGCATAATATGGATGAAATATAAGTTTAACCCTATTGGGCCTATATAGACCAATTTCACAGGCCCATAAAGAAAACTTGAAGGACTAATATAAGATTTCATAGGTCCGTATAAAAAATGGGCTTTCATTAAAGCCTATGTTGATTTTTGCTGTTGCAGCATATTGTAAGATTTCATTTTTCTAAATAAGCCCACATCTTTATTTTAGGTGAGGATATATTGGAAAAATGATTAATAAGAACACTTCAAAGAAACCAAAAATTTTTTAGTATTTTTCTTTACAACATGAATTAATTTTGGGTTTCATATATTTAGGCCTAAAGCAAAAATAACTATCATTAATCTTTTTAAAGTTCTTATTATTTTCTTTCTTCTTTTTTTCTTTTCTAAGTTTTTATTTGATTAAACTATTGCAAATTTACATTGTTTAAATAGAAAAATAATAATATAACCAAGAAATAATTAGAACTTCAATCAAACAATGGGTTTATATTAATTTTGAAGTATTTTTAGAGCTGACAACTTCATATAAACAGCCAAAGAGCAACACTAAAAGACTAGCTTCAAACCTTTTTCCTTAATTATCTCAAAAACGTTCTTTCCTTCGGGATGATGCCGGAGCCGTATGTGGAAACCATCTCTGAAGACTAAACAGGTACAGAGGGACTAAAGCTGACACACATTGGAGCATATCCAATAAGCCTTTCTGTGCAGAACACCAAAAAACAGTGGCACAAACGCTACCATCAACGATGTTGAGAGAGGACAAACAAACAAGACCCCTATTAACCTTTTTGGCAGGACATAAAGAAAATCATCTTCTGCATAGCGTGCTGTAAGGATGGACAAGAACATTATGATGGCAGCAATTGATGAAAGAAAGAACTGCATCTGAAACACTGAAGGTGGTAAGGCTATCTGTTTGTAAAAATTTGGTATGCCCATCATTGTAATCACCAGGTACAGTGATTGCTGCTGCAAATACTATTGTGGCAATGAGTGCTGCTGCTCTGAGCATGAGTTTGCTACAACTTTCATCCAATCCCACCTTCTTTAACGAGTTCCCTATGTGCCTTAGTAATATCATTGCTGGAGTTTCTCCAATACAATTTTTGTCTGCTTGTACGCAGGCGGTACAATTTTCTCTATTTCCTGCATAAGATAAACTTCTTAACTACAAAAATATAAATATGAAAAATTGCGAGTGTACTTCATAATCATTACCCTTTAGCACCACAGGACGGTCACATTCCCCTTGTGTTGCTTAAATAATACTATATTGTCAATATTTCTATTCAGTCAATATTTTCCATATTGAGATGTCTAATTGTCAATGGGGAGGGTTGGATACTAAGAAATCCATGCCTATGCTCATCCTTTTATGAATACTCAAATCCAACCTATTATCCATTCTAAAAAATGGGGCGGGTTTGGTTACTTTTTTAGACAAAAAAATTTTATCGCCCCATTTGAGATATATATAAATTAATCAAAATGATAAATAATAATTTTAATTATCTAATACAAAATTTATACTCAAAGTTTAATAATTCAACCACAAAAATTATCAAACAAATTAATAACAAAAGAAAAATGATTTTGAATTTAATTAAAGTTTATATAAATCTGATTCCTTAATGTAAATTATAATCATCAAATAATTGATGACGTGTACTACTTAATTTGACAATATAAAGAATAGAGACTCCTTCCATACAAATACACTAATATGACCCTTAGACGACCCACTTATATTTGTCCTATTGAAGAGTTTTCGCTTCCCCAATAGTATTTTTAATTGGCCCCATAATGTTTCATAAGATTCTACCTTGAACCATAGTAACTCAAATTGCATCTGCAGGGCTGCACCAGAATGACATTTAGTCTATTTTCAGGAGCAGCTTTCCAGCTAATGCAATGTTGTTCTTGTCACCGTCTTCAGAAGTTAATAACAAATGTTTGCGATCATTCATCCATATATAGGTTAAATACTTTCTCTTGACGATTTATGATTGCTAAGTGAACGATTTTGATTCTTCTCATTTGTAAACCAGATTGCATCAGGAATGACTTTATAATCTCTCCACAATTTCACAGACCCCCATTTCTGCCCCTAAAAGGAGCGGCCGTTTTAGTATCAAACAAGTTGTTGTAGATCAAGTTTACCTCTGCAATTACCTTGCACAACTTTCTGACAAGCTCAAGAATTTGTAATCACACATCAACTTTGTCTCTCCTATTTCTTTCGTATAACTTGTAACTACAATTAAACAGATTCACTGTCA